CGGGAGCGCCGCCGCACTCCCAAGCAGCGCACTGTAGCAGTGCGCCACTGGGCCGGCCCAGAACTCTTGACCCTACATCCTATCAACCCCTCTCCTTCCTGGGTCCCCTATCTCAGAATGACACCGCCGCCCATCGTGTGTGCCAGAAAGTTAGGTGTTATTCTTGACTCTCCCTCCCTCTTCCTCTCCATCAAGTCCAATAACCTTTGTGTCCATGTAGCTTCTGAATCTCCCCAGCTCCATCCCTACCCAAGGCCAAGCCACTGTCAAGCTTCACTCGCCCCAGGGAAATGAGCTCCCCACTAGCCCCCCGGAATCCACTGCATGCCCCCTGCCCCCTCCCTCTGTTCTCCATACTGCAGCCGTCACTCATTCTACAAATATGAGTCCACTGCTCACACAGGCCAAGCTCTCCACCTTGGCTCTCAAAGCAGTCTTCCCCAAACACAAACCCAATACTTCCACCTCCTTGCAGAAAACTCAGCAGATTTCCCTTGCTGTTAGGATAAAGGCAAAATTTCTTAACATGGCCCAGGACCTGTGACACCTGCTCCTGCTCCCCTTTCCCACCTCCTCCTTCACCACTTGTCCCTGCTGCGCTCTGGCAGCATTCAGGACCCTCTCAGACCACAGTGTCTTCTTTTGAGGGCTCACGTCTTGGCGGCAATAGCTTGAGGAGATGCTAAGTTCCTGGAGGGCAGGGCCATGTCTAAAACTCTGGTCCTGTGCCCCACTTCATATGTGCTGGGCACTTAAAACCTGTTGGTGATTTTAAATCAGAGCCACTTTTCTTTGTCCTTTACTTTGAACTTGGAGTTCCTCTGCATGCTGCAGTCACAGTAAATACTCTTTGCCTCTCCCTTCCCTGCCTCACTCAGGTGCCAATCACAGGAAGGTGGGGGGTGTCCCAGAGAGTGGCCCCTTTTCCCGCTTTTGCCAATACTTTGCAGGTGGATTTGACTTTGTGTTCCCAAATCGTCTTTGATGTGGCACAAAACAGCTTTCTCCCAACCACCCTTCCAAGCTGAGGCAGCGGAGTCAAATCTGGAGGTCTCTAGCTGGTTTTCCAAACTTGATCACTGCCACCTCCTTGACCCTGAATAGCTGAAATCAGCGGCCCTATTTTTTTCCTTCCTTTTCAGCTCTCTTAGTGTACTGAGCTGGCTTCGGCGAATAGTGTCTCTTTTAATATTCCCTTTCATATGAGCCTGGCTTACCCAGATTAACATATTTCATTAAGGGCTCTCTCTCCCTTTCTTCATCAAAGGGTTTATGATGCAAAATATTCTTAAAAAATAAGGAAGTGGCTGGGGAGATGTCAGTGCCTTCTGGTCTGTGGGCTGCTTGCTGAGAGGGGACTGGGAGTCTTTGGTTTTTCAGGAGGCACATTTGCTGTAGAGAGGGCATAGCTTGAAGAAAAACTGCATCTGGAGCACTTAGCTGCCTGCGCTCGGGAAACAAATCCATTCTGCAGCTCTGATTTTCTCCTTGCATCACGGCTCTGAGCCCCCCATGGCAATCTCTCCACAGCACAGAGAAGAACCTCCCTGGGTCACAACGACAGCTTGCAACATCCCGCTACTAGTCCCTTTCACAGCNGGCTGGCTCCCCCACGGCGGGAGCCATGAAGCTGCCTTCTGGGCTTGGAGGGCTAGCCTCAAAGAACACATCCCTGTTCCCTGCTTGGTGAACAGGGGCGAAATGTGGTGTCTGCATTTTTAAATCTGCACAGCGCCATCTGATAGATTTGTGTGGACGGTGCTATTTATCATTCAGCATTCATGTATTATTACTCTGCTGCCTGGGGCCAGGAGAAGTCAGCGCGAGCGGGATGGCTTAGAAAGGGCAGACTTGGTAATTTCCCTTGGAAAATTAGTACGATGAACATCATGGCAGAAAATCTGGCAAAGGCACAGTTGGGGCAAGGAAGGAGGTCAGGTGTGGTACGGGTGTGATCTGGGGCAGGAGGCAGAGCGGGGGTGGGGCAGAGCAAAGGCACAGGGTGGGGACCTGTGGAAGTTTACAACGTGCCAGACCCTTCCACATATGTCATCATGCTCACCTAAGCCTTACGACCACCCTAAGAATGAAG